CCCCAAAACCCCAAAACCCCAAAACCCCAAAACCCCAGCATTTATACAAAAATTGTTGAGATAAGATAAAATTTAATAAAAATAGAAATTTATTCAATGGGCTAGAGCTCTAGCAGAGTAATATTTAACGTCTTGATCTTGATCTTTTGCGAGCTCTCTAAGCATTTGCTTCAACTTATCTTCCAACTCTACATTCCCCTTTGCATAAGGCAAAATACTATGAATACTCTTAGCAACGTTCATTCTAATGTTAGGTATCTAATCCTGGGAGAGTGTGGCTAAGACTGGTAAGAACAGTTTCTTGATCGCCTCTGAAGGCATAACTTAGGACATTTGAGCAATACCAAAAAGGGGAGTCAATCTGTGTAGGTAATTAGAATTGACTTGCAAACTCAGAAGTTGTGGAACAACATACTTGGTTGCCCAGGTAACACCAAATATCTCAGTCAGCTGCTTTAAATTGTTAAGTGCTGCCTCTCTGATTGAGAAGATGTTGTCACTCAGCCAGGTAATGCAAATTGGAGATAGCTTCTCATTGAAGAATACCTCGCCAAGCTACTTGGCGAGAATTGGGAATTATTCAACGACTGAAAGCTTAATTCTCCAGTTTTTGTCCTAACTTAATTCAGTCAAAGCAGGGATAATTGATTGAGAGAGATTTTCAATTCCGAGAACTTTGTTGAGATCCTCTAATCTCTTGAATAGGTTGAGTCTCACATCTGATGATTCGTCTCTTAACAGAGCCAAGAAAATAGGCAGAATATGCTCATTAGTTGAAGCTTTATCAATCTATGGACAGATGGCAAGAACATTCTCGGCAAGGGCACTTCTAACATATTGAAATTGATCTGTTTGAAGTTTCTTTAAAGCAGGGATAATTTTAGCGATAGTGCTCTGTGCATCGACAATTTTACAAAAATCTGAAAGTCTGCTAACAGCAGCAGTTCTTACCTCTGACTCTGAGTCAGAAAGGAAACCCTGATAGTATGGGAGCAGATGTTCCTTTGCTTGATCATAGCCAATTCCATTAGCAAGATCCATTATTCTGTCAGCAACAAGATATCTAATTCTCCAGCTCTTATCCTCTGCGAATTTCTTGATATATGGCAATAGATAAGCATTCACTTTCTATAATTAACTAGTTAATCACTTGACGGCGTAAGTATATTATTACAGAAACAGGGAGATGCTTAGCAAAGACAACACATGAATCAATACCCTACATTCTGACTGAGTCTTGCTCATCCTTGAAGAATCTTCCAAAAATGTTAAGTAATTCTGCTTCTGGTGTCTTTGGAACTAATTTTATCATTTCATTTAGAACGATGGCTGCTACCTTCCTAACTTGAGGAATATCGTCTTGGGAAACAGCTGAGAACAATCTTAATCGATTAATTAACTCTAAATATCTTACCCCATTAAATCTTGTTGGCTTTGTGGAGATACATTAGGATAGATAGTTGGGATCAATTATGTGGCAGAAAATTTAGCAGTATATCCCTCACCATTCATGAGTCTCTTGACAAGGTCTACTACCTGAGTTTCAATGTCCTTAATCTTAACAAATGACAAAATTCTCTTGATTCCCTCAGTAGCCTAATTTAAATTTCATCAAAAATTGCTTTTATTTATTGAATGATTTTTATTATGTTTTTTTACTTACCTTATCTCTCACAGTTGTTTCTTCGACCTGGCATAACTTTTCTAATGATTTGACTAAATGCAAAGCATGAGCAGGACCGCCAACATAATCCAGGAAGTTTCCAAGTACATCGGCTAGGGCTAGAAGGACTTCCTCCTCATCGTCCATCAAGTCTAAATTTAAATAGTCAATAATCTGGATAAGATATAATGATTTTTTAGTTATTTGATATTCAAATATCATTAATGTCTGCATTTATGGGTTCTGTATTTACCTAAAATGTAAGGAAGTAATTCATTTCTAGTTCTCTCTTGCCCTAGAGCTGTAGCTATCTGGCCAAGATTCTTAACTGAATTAACTCTAAAGTCATGATTAAATAATGCATAACATCGATGATCAGATACCTTTTCTTTTAGTCCTCGCTTTTGAGTTCATCTATCAAAACTGCAATAGGATATAGAGCCTTAGTATCGACCATTTCAATGTGTATTTAAATTATTTTAATTATTATTTAGCAAAACTATATTCCCTAATTGCCTTGATTAATTGGGGTTTTGGGGTTTTGGGGTTTTGGGGTTTTGAGTTGTAAGGATGCTACATTGCCTAT